CAGAAGAAACTTTCCGGGCAAGAAAGGATTGTCAGAAAAAACAAAAACATTCAAAGTGATGAAAATCAAGGACCTACAACCAAGATTACTCTAACCAGAAAATCTATCATCTAGAATTGAAGGACAGATAAAGAGCTTCCCAGACAAGAAAAAGCTGAAAGAGTTCATTATCACCAAATCAGTATTGTGTGAAATGTTAAAGGGCCTTCTCTAGGAAGGAGGGAAAAAAAAAACACAGTAAGATGAACAATAAAATGGCAGTAAATACATATTTATCAGAAATAGATTCTAAAAAACAACATAAACAGACACGCAGAACAGAAACAAAATCATAGATGCAAAGACCGTTTTGATGGTTGCCAGATGGGAAGTGGGGTTGGAGGTGTGGGTGAAAAAGGTGGGACTATTACATAGTACAAATTGGTAGTAACAGAGTAGTCATGGGGATGTGAAGTACAGCCCAGGGAACAGGGTAACTAAAGACCATCTGTGCGTGATCCATGGACACAGACAATGGTGTGGGGACTGCCTGAGGGAGTTGGGGGGACTGGATAGAGGGGCCAAAGGGGGAAAATCAGGACAACTGTAATAGCATAAACAATAAGATACAATTTTTAAAAAGAAAAGGCACCACCTCCAATAAACGATGGTTGTAAAACAGTTAACACTTTAACAATAATTATTTTTTTCAAAGAGAGAAATAGTTCTGAGTTTTCAGGTAGAATGCTAATGCATTTTAAATGTTATTTATCATTCAAATGCAGACAAAAACCCTTTAAAAATTGTGATACCCCACATACCCATCAGCTAACTTCAACAATGATTAATAATTGTTATAAATTAATTGTTTTATAATAACAATAGCAATTATTAGCAGTTTAAAAGCTTTGCTGGAAAATATTACAGATAGCAGATAAGGCATTGGGAAAATGGAAAAATTAGCTGGGGTATTTCTTGATAAGCTCTAAATCCTAAAATAATAGCCTATTGTACATGGACAGTGAGGACCATTTCAGACTCTCCTACGAGTCCAGGCAGCCGGCAGAGCCTCGGAGGGGGGAGGATCTCACCCCCCCCACCCTATTGTTGACTTGGGCAACATCCCAGAGGCCACTCTATAAGAGTTAAGGCTGGATCTTTTGCTTAGAGAACCCTCCCACTGCTGTCTCTGTAAGGACCAACTCTCAAACTTTTCAGTTCGTGAAATCTTTCTAATGAGGCCAAACCCTCCAGCCATCTATCCTACCTGTGTTCTCTGACCCCGGGGGGAGCTTGCCTCTCTTCACTCTGTCTGGTGTTTCCAGAAGCCCCACTGCTCAGAACCAAAGACCGCATCTCCTTTTCTCTTTTCTCTTTCTCTTTGTGCTGATTGGCCAACATAAATGTGTTTCTCATTATTTGGCCTGTTTTACAATGTGAGAGCCTGCTGGGGTTCATTGCTTTGGGGATTACTAGGTATTTCATCTCATACCAGACTGGCCCTTCCCTAATGTTTAACAATGGCAGTCTGTCCGAAGACAGAAGCGCTTTGCTAAAGGGAAAGGCTCAACCAAATATTAAGCTTTGGGAGATTTCTGTCCGCGTTTTAAAAATTGTAATTCCCTTTATGGCTTGTGTATATATGTATGGGGGGGGTGCCCTGCGGGTGGCAGACAGACCCAAAGGTAATTCTCAGGTTCAAAGCCATGGTGGAACAATGGAAAGAGAACAGGCCTTGGAGCCAGAAGGTCTGGTTTGAATCTCAGATCTTTTTTTGCTGGCTGTTGGAACGGCTTGTGACTTTGAGCAAGTTAATTTATCTTGCTGAGCCTTCCTTTCATCATCTGCAGGGAGATGATATAACCTACTCCTTGGGATTGTTGTGAAGATTAAATGAGATGCTAATGAAATCACCCGGCACATTGTGAGGGCTCAATAATCAATGCCTCTTCCTGCTCTTATTGTTATCTTCCTGTGCAATGGTGAGGAGGGATGGCATTGAGAAAACGGAGCCTGTGACCGAGGGCTACCAAAATCCATGGAGTAGAGGTTTACAGTAGTAGAGCTTTGCTCTGTGTTTAAGGATCGTTTGGCAGGGGGCAGGGGGAAAACACTGATTAACCCAACTCTGACTACTCTAGGCGAGTCACTTAACCTTGGTAACCTCATTAAAGAAACATCTATTGAGCCCCTGCCTCTAGCTCCAGGGCACTGGGTCACCTGTGATATGGAAATCATAATAATCCCCACTTTCATCTTATGGTTGCCCTGGGGATCGAGCGAGAGAGAAAATGTCTGTGAAAGTACTTGGTAAACTTCAAGCACTATCTAAATGTACTGCTGTGGACGTGAGGTAGAGGGTACATTGACTCTGTCCCATTCATGAGGTTCAAATACAAACTTTTCATTCCTGGGTATTCAGCAGAGAGCAAACACATTCTATTTGACTTCAGCACTGAACGAAAAGTAAACAGTACCTTTTCAGATGCTTTGCTTCCTCTCTTCTCCCTTGAAAACAAAGCCAGGCCCTTTAAGTGCTTCCTGCTGAGTTTAGAAAGAGATGCTGGATGACAGGTCAGCCCCCCTTCTCTCCTAGGGCCTTGGAGGGAGTGGAAAAGTGAGGCACCAGAACAAGGGTGTCTAAAAAATGGTTACATTTGGTTCTTAATTAAGAGACTGAGCTTTTCTCAAGCCCCAAACTAGGGCCAAGAACCCCCAAGACAGGTGCCTTCCTCTTCCACAGTGGGGGTGGGGGGGCAGCGGTAATCCCAGGAGAAGTACATACAAAAGCGCTTAGACAATACCACTGCTAGATAATGTAACGCGGCACTGTGAAAATGAGGAGGAAGGAGCCCCCCTTTTGTCTCTCTTACTATTTATAATCTTCCCATTCCTCACCAGACCCGTGGGGCTTCACTGCCCCATGAAGGCTTTGTGGCACTTAAATCTCGCTTTGCCTTCTCTCTCCTGAGGTCCCCTGTAGAGTAGGCATGTTCCACACTGCTCTTTGGCCTTAATGATTTTATGTTCCTTATTTATTCATTAAAATTTGCCCATGCACCAGGCACTCACCGTGTTGGGTACTGGGGATCCGAGAGTGAACCAAACAAACATGGTCTTTTCTCTGAAGGAATTTACCATTTAGAAGAAGGGAGATTTCAGAGAAAAAGCAATACATGATACACCATAAAGAATGTAGCTTCCATTCCAAAAGCAATGAAAACCATCGGAAAGGCTTTAAACAGCTTGATTCAGATATGTGACATACAATAAGCTGCACATGTGTATTGAAAACCCAAATTTGAGAAGTCTGACATGTGTGTACACCCAGAAAATCATCACCACAGTAGAGTGAGCGTATTCTTCACGCCCCAAAGTTTTCCTGTGCTCCCTCCTTTCCCTGAGGTCTAATCCAAGCAACGACTGATCTGTATGTAACACCACTGAATAATTTGAATTTCCTAGAATTTTATATAAATAATCATACAGTACATGTTCCTGTTTTTATATGGTTTCCTTCACTCAGCGTATTTATTTTGAGATTCATCCAAGTTGTGCTGTGTATCAATGGTTCATGCTTTTTACTGTAGAATAATATTCTACTGTATGACATGCCAATTGTATATCCATTGATCTGTTGATGGACCCTTGGGTTGTTTTCAGTTTTGGGCTATTACAAATAATATTGCCATGAACCTTTGCATATAAGCATTTATGTGGACATATGCTTTCATTGTTTTGGAGGTAGACAGGAGTGGAAATGCCTAGTCATGTGGTAAATTTATGTTTAATTTTGTAAGAAACTTCAGGTCTATTTGACCTTCAGGTCATTTGTTCATGTCAGCTCACTATGGAATTATGGAGGCATAGACAATGGTGGTGAAGAAGAAAAATAATAGCTGAGAATTTATGGACATTTTTCACATGCCAGGCATTTGTGCTAAGGATTTTAAATGCCTTAGTCTTTACTACCACCATTAAACCCTCTGGTGTAGGCATATGATTGTTCTCATTTACAGATGGGGCCTCTGAGACTCTGGAAATTAAATCACTTGCCCAAGGTTACTTATCTACCTCGGGCCTCTCTCACCCCCAAGTTTGCACTCATAACTACAATATAAATGTGAATGAGTCTGTGGACACTAAAGTCTCGTGTTTTGCTTTCTCTTCAGATGGGGTGGGGAGAGAGCACAATATTCTGCACCCATGGTATGGGTTCTATTTAATTGAGATATTGGTTTCATTAAAAAAAATCTCTGAACATTTTATTGGCCTCCTGTTCCCCAAGGGGTGCCCCACTTCTGCTGCCTTTAAAGCCTCAGAACTTTGGTGGAGGTCTTTTGGAAGGAGTGTATGGAGTAGCAGTTGTCCAGTGTCACCAAGATTGAAGTCCTTCCCTTCTTCCAGTAGGCAGGGCTAGGTGACAATCTCAGCCTCCAGCTTAACCTTGATGTTCAGCAAGACCTTGTACTTCTGGGCCTGGCCCTGCCCCTCTGCCAGGGTCTGGGCCAGCTCTGTCTCCAGGTGCAGCAGATCCCGTTGAGCTGTTCCCTCTGCCTGGCACAGCGCGCATCCACCTCCCTCAGGCTGTGCTCCAAGCTGGCCCGCAGGGTTCTCATGGGTCCAGGTCGATCCCCAAGGACAAGACCGTACATCTTAGCTCTGTGAGTGTCATCTCAGTAGTCTGCGAGGTGACCACTCTGGTGCTCTCGTCAGTCTGCTAGGATCAGTACTTGTCTAGCTCCTCTTGGCTCTTCTGAGCCAGCTTGTCATTCTGGGCCCAGATGTCTGCTATACTGTTTGTTGCCAAGGTCCTGAGAGTTGGGGGCATCCAAATCCATGGTCAACCCAGAGTTGGCAGTCTGGTTTCATAGACCATTTACTGCCTCCTCGTGGTTCTTCTTCATGAAGAGCAGCTCCTCCTTGTGAGCCTCGATCTCTGTCTCCAGCTGCAGCCCCGTGATATTGGTGACGTCAATGACCTTTCAGAGTTCACTGATGTCACTCTCCACAGACTGACACATGGCCAGCTTCATCTCATACTTGACCTGAAGTCATTAGCAGCAAGACAGATATTGTCAATCTGCACAACGATATGGGCACTGTCCACAGAATTTGCAAAGGTGTGAGCCCTCAGATCCTCGATGGTCTTGAAAGAATGCCCCCGGTCTCTGACTGGGGTCCCTTCTTCTCCAGGTGTTCCTGGACTTTGCACTCCAGTCCCTGGTCACCAGCCTCGAGGCACCTCATCCTCTCCAGGTAGGAGGCCATGTGGTCATTCAGGCATTGCCTAATCTCCTTCTCACTCTTAGGACCCCCTATGCCTAGCACACTCCCGGCCATCCCTGCAGCCAGGCCCCCTGACCCCCAGTGGCCCTGTATGCTGGTGGGGAGGGACGTGGGAGCCTGAGCCACTGGCATCTGCACAGACGCTGGCTGCACTGCTGGCCGGTCAGATCCCATGGCTGGGTGATGGCATGGAGCTCAGGGTCCGGTAGTTTGTGGAGGAGCTTGAGCGGCTACTGAAGCTCGTGTTATTCAGGGAGAAAGGTGAGCAGCTGAGACTCAGGTTCAAGCAGCAGTTGGTTTCATTTTGTTAAATCTGTTGGTCTAAGAATCTAAGCAAAATAAAATGAGCAAGTACAATTAGAAATCAATTTCTAGATTTCTCTAGAACTTTATAGAAATCACTTAAGTTGTCTCATCCAAATAGATGATTATATTTAATATATATTTCTTTTTTTGCTAGGTTTAGATCACAGCTCTTTAGAGGGCCTCATTCATGAAAACACCATAAATAGGACTTGACTGTATAAGGAATCCTGAGAATCTGTAATACTTGGAGGCAGAATGACATAGCAGAAGGAACACGAGTTGGGAGTAAAATAGACTTGGACTAAACACTTGGTCTGATATTTTGCAGTTGAAAAGCTATTTAAAATTTATTTTCCTCATCTGCGGAACGGAGATAGTAATGTCTATTTTAAATGGTTGTCTTGAGGATTAGGGAAGATTACAAGTCAAAGCCTTAGGTTCTTGGTACATGTCAGTTCCTGGTTCTTTTTCCCACTTTATCTGTTGTTGTTTTTTTTAAAGGACTCACGCTTTTTCAACCTGGCTTAAAATCTAAAGCCCTTCCCACTAGAGGTTAGTGATTCTTCCCAAACCATACACACAATTTTGTATGTTTGCACATGAGCCTTTCGGTAGAAAAATGTCCCTGGCTTCCACCAGGTTTCAAAGAAATCCATGATTCGAAACCAGTTCAGAAGCGCTGTGAGACTGTTTTTCCTTCATTCATTCAATGAAACTTAATGAATATCCACCATGAGTCAAGCATGTTGCAGATAAACTTCGTCCCTCACTATCTGTAAGGAGATTACAGCTTGGAGTAGTGAATAAAAAGCTGCAGTGTTTTTGCAAATTCGTGTGTTACCACACTAATTACTGACACTAGAGAGAAAGCTCGGGACATGAAGAAGAAAACCAGATGAGTCCTCGGGCGGAGAATGGCAACACGTACGCAGGTTGAAAAGGCTCAGGAATCAAGCTCATAAACCTTCTTGATTGCGCAGCTGCTCCGTTGCTGGGGAGACCGTGCAGGTTCCGCCCCAGACAGAAGGGCCAGCCTGCGGTTCAGGGGTTGGATGTGGGGTGAGGAAGTGCAGCGGACCCTCCCACCCCGCCGAGGGCCCGCAGAGCTCTGCCTTCCCACAGGGGGCCCTTTTCTCTAATTTGCTCGCAGGTGCTCAATGTTTTAGGAGATTTTAGCTGTTACATTTTCAAGTGGATCAACTCTAGTCCTGTAAAAAAAAAAATCTGTTCTTTGCTCAATCGATCTCTTAGAAGACATGACAAACAGTTGGGTCACTGTGTCAGCAGCGTTTGGGAAATAAAGGAGGTGTCTTTCAGCCTCAGATCTCCCCAGGGAGTTAGCAAGGTGAGTTGGAAAAGTTTTAAAGCGGAGGGACATTTGGGTGTTGTGTGGAATGCAGCTGGAGAGCAGGTGGTAAATGAAGGCTTTTTTTTTTTTTTTTTTTTTTAAGATTCACTTTCCTTGCTTGGAGCCTTGGGAAGGATGGGAAAAGCCCTGCGGCCACTGACCCATTTCTGCTGACCTTGACCTCACCCCGGTGACCAGCTCCACCTTAACCCGTCCTATCTCTGGCCAGAGCTTGTGCATATTTATTCTTTGGAGTCTGCACTTTGCTCTTTTATTTGGACTGGCCCTGTGCCCCTGTTTGTTCTTGGTGTTCTCTTCACGCATATTGCAGGCGGCCCCATGTTTAACTTGAGCTCAGGACTAAATATAACCACCGCTATCACCAGAGGCATCCGTCCATGGCAGCCCCCTTTCAGTGCGGTTGTAAGCTCCAGCCCAGGTTGCAGGCAGCGCCTCTGCTTTCACCAGAGGTCACTTCTAAATGGAAACTCTCACCGACACCGGGATGGCCGAGTGCAGGACGGAATCAGTTCTTATCACAGGCTGCGCTCCCGCTTTATCTCTGTGTGCAGAAAGTGTTGGTCTCCAAACTGTAGGTGGGAGAGCTAGGAGGGAGCACACTTGGGGCCCTCTGGTCCATTTAACTGCATGGCAGGTGCCCCTCCCCTTGACCTCCTCTTCATCCTGGGCCCTTTGAGGGGAAATGAAAAGTGCCTGCAGCATTACCCCATCTTTCCCTCCTTTGGGGCCTTTGGGACCCTGGGAGGGTCCTGCTAGTGGCTTACATAGTGCCACGGGCCTGGGACCCAAGGTTCCCCTGAAATCCCTGTTGCCCCCCACACTGCACGAGGATAAGCTTCCAGCCCGACCCCCTCCACACACATCTCCCTAACAATCCTTCAACCTTGCTGTTTTCTTCTGTAGTCATTATTGTGTGGATTAAACTTGACTGTAGGGTTCATAAATGATTTTGTGGCTTAATGTTGTGAAAACGAGGGGGAAAGCTCATCAGAATCTGAGTCTCTCTTCTGTTCACTCTTCCCATCCACTCTCCTCCAGGCTGAGAGAACATTGGCTTGTTTTCTGGCCAATGCCTCACTTTTCTGAGGACATGGAATTACATTTAAGTTAACATTTCCCTTCTTCTCTGAACATGGTAGAATCTGTGGACCTGCATCACAGGGCTGGTGAATTACAGATAGAAAGAGGTGGCCTGGAGTGACAGCAGGACCTCTTACACAAATACACTTAGTGAGAGTCAAGCAGACACTTGCTCGGCCAGCTGAATCAACCTGGAGACAACGAGGTCGTGGAACTTGATTTCATATCCTCAAAGTGGGTCTGAAATCAGGTCCTTGAAAATTTCTCCAAAGTCCATAAAGTCAGAGATTCACTTCTTTGAAAGAATACTGTATACATTGACATCATTTCCCGAACCACTTTCTCCTCTTCCCTTCCTTCTCACAATTATTGAGCACCTACTGTGCACAAAGCTCTGGGTCAGCAAGGAGGACCACAACCATGTTAACACAGCCACAGCTCTGTTAAAAGGACTCTGGGAAGACCGTTAGATAGGTGTGTATTATCTAACTAATGGGCTGCCATTGGGGGCTACCAGGAAAATAATTCAGATGTTTAGAAGTGGAGGTCATTTTCGAAGGGGTTAAGGAAGAGTAGGAAAGCAGCTAAAGATGGTAAATAGAAGACGAAAGGAAGGGTTTGTGGTGCTTTGAGCTTCTGTCCACCCCAGGAAGGAAGCAAGTGGGGAAGGCTCTGGAGAAGGCACGCAGGGGACAGCAAACGCGACCCATCAGAAAAGGGGGGGGGGTGTGCACATGCGCAGGCCAGGGTGTGGGCCGGGCAGGAGGCCACGCTTCGTGTGCTTCTCAATGGGAATATTCCCCTGTCTTATCGCCCTATAGATGTACAACTAGAGGATTCTCTGTGTGGCTGGACGACTACTAAGCCCGCTCTCCGAAAGGTCTTCTCCATTTTTGTGTTGGCTGTAAGTGGGGGAGGGAAATCATTCTTGCTCTTTGCCCCGAGTTCTGTGTTTACAAGTTTACCCTCATCCTATTAGGACTTTGAATGAGAACACAGTGTCCCCCGACACTATTCATTAGGAAAACCATTCTGGTCATTGTGCATCTATAAAAGCAGGCTTGCTGTTGGGGGCAGGGCGGGTGCTGCTAATCGCAACTGGAGAGTCTCTCTGGCTGGTACGGTGGGGCCTGAGGGGCCTGGGGAGGGTGCAGCTGAGAACACAGAGGAGGGGGAAGCTTTTTGACGGGGAGGTGGGGCTGGCTGCGAGTCAAGTTAGGGCCTTCTCATTTTCAGTTACTCACCGTTAGGACCGGAATTTCAGGGTTCCTGTGGTGGTGGGGGGGTCTATGTGGACAGGTGTGAGAAAACTGGAATTGCTAGATCATTCAGTGGTAGTGAGCGTGGATATGCCCAGAGTGTGAAAGCCTGGCCCAAGAGCACGGAGCCAGGTTTGATTTCCACTGACCAGTTAGGATAGCACACTGGACAAACGATCACAGCCTGCAGCTCCCTTGGAAACAGGCAGTAATGTGTGTAAACGATAAATCGAGATGAGAATGCTCAGCTGGCACTTTAAATCAGATCGAAAGGCCAGTGTATTTTCCTCATTCGCTTATGGTTTCTGTCATTCCACAGCTCAGGTAAAATAACATGGGTCATGTGTAGCCCAGGACTTGGCAGATGGTCAAAGACGCTGGATACGTCCCCACCACATCCCGCCTGTTCCCCTGAGAAAAAGCCTGAACTCCAGACGCACCGGAAGTCCTTCTCTACAACCCGGCTTCCTTTTCTGTGTTCAGTATCACAAGAGCACCAAGCATGTGCCAGGCCAGACAAGACAGTAAATCCCTGCCATCCTTAGATTCTAAGGAAATAGTCCAGAAACAAATAAAGCGTATAATGTCAGAAAATAAAAAGCATTACAAAAATATACTACACGGAGTCAGGGGAGAGAGCACCTACCTGTATATCTTTATTTGGCACTTAGTCATCAAAACCAGCAGCGATAGCCAGGCACAGAGTTCCTGGAGGGAGAACGTGGGTGCATTTCCACAATTTCTTTCACCAGAAATGCCTTCAGCGCCCCTTCCCCCTTTCCTGCCCACCCAGTGTCCTGTCGTTGCTGACCTGGCTCTTGGCGCTTCTTCCATGTGGGTACAGTTTCCTTCTTCAAGCACCCCCTTGTCACGAGGGTGTCCAAGCAGTGCGTTCAGTCAGCCTTCGATGGAACACGTATCTTTATGTCAGCTCTATTCTTGTTAATAGTTTGGCC